TTAATTATACTAATTAAAATATATCCTCACCATAATACTTAAAGGTGCCACAAAGACAATGAGAGAGAATACCATACAAATCCATCCCAAAACATCAACACGTATCGATGCTTTTGTTAAGAAGTGGGTGAGGAGAAGAATTGAGCAGAATCCCATAAAATTTAATAAAAGAAGTAATGTCAAGGTAAATATCTGCATTTACAAATATCAGTTTAAGATAATTAGACAACATGTAAGATTCATTCTCTTGCAAAAAGAACAAGAATATTTGTTTTTTTCCCTTTTTATACATATATAAATTTATTTTTTTACCCTCGCTTTCCTTGGGGCATAAGTGATGTAGAAAACAATGTAAATGGTCTCAATGAAGCAACCAAAAGCATTGATGGTGATGAGAAGGAAAGCATCAGCTTTGAGTAAGGCGTAGGAGATCCAAAGCATTGCACTGAAGAGGGCAATCAAATATGGAATAGAGTGAAAGCCCTCGGTTGATTTCTTCTTCCAAATCCGATAGAAAGTCGGTCTAAAAGAGGAAACATTATAACCATGGTTATATATATAACACTTAATTTTCAAAATCGTAAGACTAGTAAATTGCTCCAAACAATTACATTACTTACATTGGAGCTAGGAAAACCACAAACGAGGAAATGTTGCCTAATACACATCAAGAAAAAACAATAAACACTTACATGAAGATTTTAATAAAGAAAGGATTGATATTCAAAAGAGTATTAATTACTTAGCACCTAGAAGACCAAAAACGAAAAGCCAAGGGCTATGAGTGGAAATTAGGGCCATTTCTTTGCTTCTTCACTATTGCTCTCCACTATCTTTCTTTGCTAATGTCTCTCTTTCCTTCTCGAAGGGAAGTGGCAGAGCTAGATATGAAGTTATGGCAACTGGGCATGCCATATATATAGGCACACAAGAAGCATATAGCTTTTGTTGAATAGTTTATAAATATTAATATTTCATGTCAAAAAAGTATGAGAATTTGAAAAAGTTTATAAAAATTTACTTTTTATCAACAAATAATTAAGTAAAATGAAATTCAAGATAAATTGGGCCTTACCTCTTATATATAATCAAAATATGGGCACTTGGACCCTTGGGGTTTGACTACCAAAACATTGTTTTTTATTATTTTCGTATAAAGTTAATATTCTACATCTAATTTTAAAAGAATTTTGAGTTCTGTAATATTTTAAAAGATTTTGAATTTTTAAAAAAAGTGATATCATGTCTCAGAACTTTTATTTCACTCTTCTCTATTTCTAATCTTTTCTTCAACAGCTTTTGCGTGGGACCAAATGATAATATATTGGCGGAGTTAGAAGAAAATACGTGCTACCTACGATGCTGCATACCAACTCGTCTTTCTTTTTTGATGTTCAAAACCAACTCATCTTTGAGATTGCTGATGGCTATATTAATTATTAGTATTGTAATAGTATCTATTATATGCGAACAATAATTGATACACATTTCGACTCAACACACTACATAATACAATTATTAAAAAATTATTATTTTTTAATATGCAATTAAAGGTAGATAAGTTTAAAGATATAATCATGCACACAAAATGCAGAAACCGATTAAATCGATTATATTTATATTATATTTTTAATGATTGAATTGAAAATGTATAAAAAATGTATTGAATCGAGTGTGTACAGATCATTTTCCATTATTTGCAGCACAACATTTTGGTGTATGACTAAAAAAGCATTTGAATAAGTTGGAAAAAAACGGAAAAGAGAGAATTTGAAAAGCGGAGATGTTTCTTGACTGTCCAGATACGCACTAGATATTTCCACCTATGTCATCAACAAGTATCTTAATTATAAAGTGCATGGACTCCAGCTTAATGAGTTCAATCAATATTCGTTTATATACATTTGTTTAATTAAACAAGTTCAAACTTAATTATGTTGATTTTATTTTATTTTAAACGACCAATTAAGTTGAAGGTCACACTGATCTAACAATAGTTCCTGTTGAAGGTCCAAGTGATCTTCAACCTCAAAAAATCAAATTTAAGTTGTTAATAATTATTGGTCATAAAACATATATATATATATATATATACCACTTGTTAAAATTACACCTTTTTTAAACCTAAGGTCTAGGGCAAGCTTTTATTGTAATCTGCCTCACTGTCCAATCCATAACCATGGCAATATCCTTTTTTTTAATTTAAAATGACAGAGTTGGGACCCATGGTTTATTGGGTGGGACATTAGATTTTTGTTTAAATTTTTTATTTTATTTAGTATGATATAGTAGGATCTGTATTATATTAAAGGAGAATTTTTATTTTTATTTTTTTGCTTTTCAAAAAAAAAGAAGAATTTTTTTTTTTTTTTGTTAATTGCAATTGTGGCATGCCATGTAGGAGAGGGATAACTGATTGTATTGCTGACCAAGATGGAAATCAAATTTAACTAATGATGTGAGTTATAATTTGTTAAGAAAGGGTGAACTTCCCCTAATTATATTATTGAGCGGTTAATATACTTAAGTGTTCATATAAGGGGTTAATAACCTTAAATTTTATAAATTAAAGGATTAAATAGAGAGTTAAACCTACTTTTAATATCATTCTAGTGAATTTGGGTTTTTTAAAATTGCATGTTAAGGATATATATTAAAGCTATATTTATTATTTATTTATAAATTAATATCCATAAAAATTAGATATTAATTTTATTAATTATCTAATTAAAAATAATCACATGATATAAGTATTAAAATTAAAATTAATTATTTTTTATATAATTTAATATTTATAAAATATATTTATTATGCTAACAAAAGTACAAGTTAAACAAATTTATAATTTTAATAGGCCAAACCTGCTAGTGGCGAAGTCTCATCTAGTATCTATTAAATAGGACAATTTGTAAGTAGTTTTTAGTTGGACGGAAAATCCAAATACTCATGTTATTAAAATAAGATATTAAAAAAATCATGAAAATCAACTAAAGATTATAATTTAGTGAAATACGGGCGCTGGGGTAATCAGTGATATCACCATGAGATGGGAAAAGGGGAGAGCATGAAACATTTAAATGAAAAAGCCTAATAAAGCTTTTCTGTAGGTACATTAGCAGATAGAGCCTGGCTTTTGATTTTGTTAGCCGGCGCCAATTTCTAACTTGCTGTAGAGAAAATAATAAGAGTGTGCTAGACAAAGCAGGTTTGTAAAGTAATTTTTTAAATTATTAATAATATGACATTTCGTTTGAATGATTGAGGTTTTAATTTTTTTTTTTTTCAGTCCTCTTTGTAAAGGTTTTGGTTAATTAACTCATCTTATATAAAATTGAAAAAATAATAATAATTGTGCTAGATGTGTTAGTGGGGCTGCTATAAAATGAACAGCAATGAGAGATGAATTTTTTAACAAATTAAATTATAATATTTTTAAATAATACAATTTGATTAATCAAAAAAATCCACCTACCTCTCTCCTCCCCTCAAATCAAACAAACCCTAAAAAATTAAATATTAATCAACAAAATAAAAAATAAATTTCTTTATCAATTAAGTGAGAACTCTTCAGGATACCTTCAAGGCTTCAACTCGTTCTACCGTTTCTGTTCCTTGTGGACATCCAGTTCCCCTGTAAGGTAATAACAGTGGAGAAGATATGAAAAAGAAGAAAGTGAAAAGGGAAATCAAGTCTTCTATTCATTAAAAAAGTCTGTACAGAATCTCTATTTATATATATGGCAACATTAGCACTTAAGGACACTTGAAGACTGACTTGTATTAAGTGCCAAACATTGGGGATTAACTAGCATCAACATTATTCCTTCTAACATAAGGTGCATGTTCTGTTCACACTTTAAGCCCATTGGGCATTGTACGATGAGATGGGCTTGAACCGAAACAGGACAATTGAGGGATGAGAATTTTTTAAGTGCATGGCAGGAGTTGAACCCCAAGCTCCTTCGGTTCTTGGGAGTGAACCATTATTAGGCCAATTAAAGTCAGTTAAATTCATACACGCAAATCAACAAATCATATAATACAATCCTAAAGGTAAAAGGTTAGATTTAGAATTTAAATTTTAGGATAAGTATTTAAAATATTAATTTTTAAATACAATAATTAAATTGATGCAGATTAAAATTACTTGAAAAGAAATCGATCTCTATGTACTATGAAAATAATTTAGAAATATTTTGACCATAAAAAAATTATATAATACATTAAAGGTAACTTAGGCATGTAATTAAACTACATTTTTTCCTAGCCAACGTCGGTTTGGGCTTATTGCATATATACGAAACACAATCATAACCTCAAAAACCAGAAATTAATGAAATAGAAAACACATTACAATAGGGACAAAGCAACACATATATAACCCCCTACACTTGCAAAGAGGTGTTCATTTCCTCCCAGAAAATTAGCCTCTTTTTCTTGCGTTCAAACTTCAGAAGCCATTTTCGGATTCGAGTTGAAAACCTCCATGGTATTCCCAGTCTGATCAATATTTTGGTGATCATTTTCTTTCTGTACCTCATTCTCAATGTTTTTGTCGCAGTTGGGGAGTTGTGTTTTAAGTTTGGTGATATCAATGCTGTGTTGGGGCGACTGAGATTGCGCTGCCACCACCATCTTCGACTTATTCCTGTACACTGCATACAGCACCATCTGAAGCAACCCAAAGATGACTCCAAGAATGTTGGGAATCTGCAGTCAAAACAAATTCTTCCTCTAATTAATTAACTATTATCATTTTGATCAAGTAATTAATTAATGAAGCTCACTTTTAAGGGAGGAAATTAAAAGTTGCCATGTCTAGCCCTTTCATAGAGGTGATGTCACCTGAGCTAGTATGATTTTTTTTGTTTCTTTTTTTACAAATAAAATAAGTGACAATGATATAAAGATAGTTTTTTATATAATTTTTTTATATTATTAATTGAATAGATATATTTAATATTATAAATATTAAATAAATAAAAAAATCAATTATATAAAAATATTATTTTTAAATTATTTTTTTAAATTATGCCTCTTTTTATATTGTGAAATTTAGATTTAAAATATTTAATTTAAAACTCTTAAAAACTCTTAACCATTAAACACTTACCGTAACATACAAGTCCTTAAGGAATATGCCGTAAAAAAGCCACATAACAGCGCTTATGGTGAGGTAAAGTGATAAATTAAAAGGCATGTACTCCACACTTTTGGTCCTAAATACCAGCCTCTGTACGTTAATTAGCAACTCGTTAGCTCACATGTACAATTTTTAGGTAAAAAGCTTATGTTTGGTAAGTGTGAAGGCCAAAACTGAGATTAATTATACTAATTAAAATATATCCTCACCATAATACTTAAAGGTGCCACAAAGACAATGAGAGAGAATACCATACAAATCCATCCCAAAACATGAATACGCATTGATGCTTTTGTTAAGAAGTGGGAGAGAAGAAGAATTGAGCAGAATCCCATAAAATTTAACAAAAGAAGTAATGTCAAGGTAAATATCTGCATTTACAAATATCAATTTAAGATAATTAGACGACATGTAAGATTCATTTTCTTGCAAAAAGAATAGGAATATTTGTTTTTTTTTTCCTTTTTATACATATATAAATTTATTTTTTTACCCTCGCTTTCCTTGGGGCATAAGTGATGTAGAAAGCGATGTAAATGGTCTCAATGACGCAACCAAAAGCATTGATGGTGATGAGAAGGAAAGCATCAGCTTTGAGTAAGGCGTAGTAGATCCAAAGCATTGCACTGAAGAGGCCAGTCAAATATGGAACAGAGTGAAAGCCCTCGGTTGATTTCTTCTTCCAAATTCGATAGAAGGTCGATCTAAAAGAGGAAACATTTATAGCCATGGTTATATATATATAACACTTAATTTTCAAAATCTTAAGACCAGTAAATTGCTCCAAACAATAACATTACTTACAGTGGAGCTAGGAAAACCACAAACGAGGAAATGTTGCCTAATAAACATCAAGAAAAAACAATAAACATTTACATGAAGATTTTAATAAAGAAAGGATTGATATTCAAAAGAATATTAATTAATTAGTACCTAGAAGACCAAAAACGAAAAGCCAAGGGTTCTGAGTGGAAATTAGGGCCATTTCTTTGCTTCTTCACTCTCGCTCTTCACTACCTCTCTTTGCTAATGTCTCTCTTTCCTTTTGGAAGGGAAGTGGCAGAGCTAGATGTGAAGTTATGGCCACTGGGCATGCCATATATATAGGCCCGCAAAAAGCATATAGCTTTTGTTGAATAATTTGTGGACGTTAACATTCCACATGAAAAAAGTATAAAAACTTAAAAGAGTATAAAAACTTACTTTTTATCAACAAATAATTAAGTAAAGTAAAATTTAAGGGAAATTGAGCCCTACCTCTTATATATAGTCAAAATATGGGCACTTGAGCACTTGGGGCTTGTCTACCAAAACATTATTTTTTATTATTTTCATATAAAGTCAAAGTTCTACATTTAATTTTGAAAGAGTTTTGAGTTCCATTGTGTCTTGGAAGATTTTAAATCTTTAAAGAAAGTGAAATCATGTTTTAGAACTTTCCTTTCACACTGTTCTGCCATTTCTTATCTTTTCTTCAACACCCTTTAATTTGCATGGGATCAAATGATTATATGTTGGTGGCATTGGAAGAAAATACGTGTGACCTGCGATGCTGCATACCAACTCATCTTTCTTTTTGATGTTCAAAACCAACTCATCTTTGAGATTGTTGATGGCTATGTTAATTATTAGTATAGTAATAGTATATATTATCTTAGTACAGTAATTGGTATACACTTCAATTCAACACACTGCATAATATAATTATAAAAAAAATTACTATTTTTTGATATAAAATTAAAGATAAACAAGTTTAAAAATATAATTATGCATACAAGATGTAGAAACTGATTGAATCGACTATATTTATATTATATTTTTAATGGTTAAACTAAAAGTGTATCAAAAATGTGTTAAACCGAGTGTGTATAAATCATTTTATATTATTTGAGGCACAACATTTTGGTTTACAACCAAAAAAAAATATTTGAATAAGCTTTTTTTTTATAGAAAGATTTGAATAAGTTGGAAAAAAAAAAAAGGGAAAAGAGAGAATTTGAAAAGAGGAGATGTTTCTTGACTGTCCAGATACGCACTAGATATTTCCACTTATGTTATCAACGAGTATCTTTATTACAATGCATGGACTCCAGCTTAATGAGTTCAATCAATATTCATTTATATACATTTGTTTAATTAAACAAGCTCAAGCTTAATTATGTTGATTTTATTTTATTTTAAGCGACCAATTAAGTTGAAGGTCACACTGATCTAACAATAGTTCCTGTTGCAGGTCCAAATGATCTTTAATCTCAAAAAATTAAATTTAAGTTGTTAATAGTTATTAGTCATAAAACTTATATATATACCACTCGTTAAAATTACACCTTTTGTTAACCAAAGATCTAGGGAAGGCTTTTATTGTAATCTACCTCACTGTCCAATCCATAACCATTGCAATACCCTTTTTTTTTATTTAAAATGACAGAGCTTGGACCCTTGGTTTATTGGGTGGGACATTAGATTTTGTTCGAATTTTTTATTTTATTTAGTATGATAGAGTAGGGTCTATATTATATTAAAGGAGAATTTTTTTTTTTTTTGTTAATTGTCATCGTGGCATGCCATGTAGGAGAGGGATAACTGATTGTATTGCTGACCAAGATGGAAATCAAATTTAACTAATGATGTGAGTTATAATTCGTTAAGAAAGGGTGAACTTCCCCTAATTATATTGTTAAGAAGTTAATATGCTTAAGTTTTTATATAAAAGGCTAATAATCTTAAATTTTATAAGTTAAAGGGTTAAATAGAGAGTTAAGCCTACTTTTAATATCATTTTAGTACCAATAATTTGTGTTTTTTAAAATTGCATGTTAAGGATATATATTAAAGGTGTATTTATTATTTATTTATAAATTAATATTCATAAAAAATAGATATTATTTTTATTAATTGTCTAATTAAAAACAATCACATGACACATAAGTGTTAAAATTAATATTAATTATTTTTTATATAATTTAATATTTATAAAATATATTTATTATACTATTAAAAATACAAGTTAAACAAATTTATAATTTTAATAGGCCAAAACCTGTTGGTGGCGAAGTCTCATCTAGTATCTCTACTAAATAAAACAATTTGTAAGTAGTAATTAGTTGGGCAAAAAATCCAAATACTCATGTTATTAAAATAAGATATTTAAAAAAATCATGAAAATCAACTAAAGATTATAATTTACTGAAATACGGGCCCTAAGGTAATCAATGACATCACCATGAGATGGGAAAAGGGGAGAGCATGAAGCATTTAAAATGAAAAAGCCTAATAAAGCTTTTCTGTAGATATATTAGTAGATAGAGCCTGGCTTTTGATTTTGTTAACTGGTGCCAATTTCTAACTTACTGTAGATGTAATAATAAGAGTATGCTAGACAACGAAGGTTTGTAAAGTAATTTTTTAAATTATTAATAAAATGACATTTCATTTGAATGATCAAGGTTTTAATTTTTATTTTCTCTTTTCAGTCCTCTTTGTAAAAGTTTTAATTAAGTAACTCATCTTATATAAAAATTTAAAAAAAAAAAAAAGAAAAAAGAAAAAAAGTGCTAGATTTATTAGTGGGGCTGCTATAAAATAAATAGCGGTTTGGTCGGCTGGGTCTTACTTTTCGATCTTGTTATTATTATTTTTTTATTTGTAATTAGAGTATTTTTTAATTAATTTTTATATATTTTAAGGTTAATTAATTTTTCTCTAAAAGATTTTAAGAATATATTTTTTACATTGATATACTATATGTAAAAAGAATTAATTTTTTTAAATGTTAATCCTAAAACTTAAACTCTACACTTAATTTAGAGACAAGTCTTCTTATATATATATAAGTGAACCCAATATTCCGCGGATTCTATTTTGGCAAGAGTATGAATTAAAATATATATGTATTGGGATATTGCTTGTACCCACGTTTTTAATTAAAATTCATTTGCTGATAAAAGAAAAAAAATATTAAGCCTGTCCTACACCCCATGGAATATTTTAGTGCCAAAGATCTTTCTTAAATTACATCTTTAGGTTTTGTTTGTTAGTATTGCTTTATATATATTGTAATCATAAGGTTTTATCTTTTATTATTTTAAAATATATAAAATATTAATTAAAATTAATAAAATTTTGTTAAAAAATTAATTTAAATAAAAATTTATATTTTTAGATAAAATATTGTATGAAAAAACTTTTAAAAGAATCCAACACTTAATTTAGAAAAATGATATACTACACATATTCAGATATTTCATTTTTAAAAAAAAATTTTGTAATGGAGCCTCACAAATCATATCTAGCAGCAAGATGTAATGGACTCTTAATTTTAACCCAACCGTTCTCATGATTGAGTATGCAACTAGCTGATTGAATATTATATAGTTATTGTGAAAAAATGTTAACTGTATATGTATTAGCATTAATTAATCTATTCTTTTTTTATATTAGTAATTCAAAGTAATATATATATATATGTCATCTTTTTTCCTGAGCCTTCTCTACCACCACCTTCTCGGACTTAATTATTCCTTTCTACTGCATGGAGCACCATTAGAAGCACTCAATAATATGCTCCCAGGATATTTGGAATATGCAGTCAAAACAAAATCTTCGTCTAATTAATTAATCATGATCATGCACTAGTTAATTTAAGGAGGCTCACTTTTAAGGGAGGAAATTAAAAGTCGTTTTGTCTCTTTCTTATAGGTGACTTCTGCACTGCCTCTTCCTTTTTCTTCTATATAACATAGAAAAATAATGCCTGGTTTGAAACGCCAATTAATTATAAGTTTGGAAGAGGAGCACTCAGACTTAGATGTTGGGTTTGAGAACTCCAAATTTGCAGCTGCTTTTTTTTTTTTTTCTTTAAGAAAAAAAAAAAAGCGAACATAAATTAAAAACTAGCCACTAGGTAGCTACACAACTGGTCCTGGGGTACTGGGCAGCCGGCCATGAGCGTCAGCCAGGTAGAAAAATAACAGCCTTAGGAGTAGCTACAATTGTCTCCCACTCACCTTCAATTAAGAATGACAATTGTACTATTCTAAACTACTCTTAGCACTGCCTTGGTTACCCCTTTACTTAAGTTAATAAAATTTTTTACTTAACCAGAAAAAAAAAATCCCTTTTTGCGGGTTTTGGATTCCAGACTTCAACCCTTAAACTTTAAAAGTCTAAAATTTCAATTGTTATACTCCCTCCATCACTTTTAGTATTGACCTATTTTAAAAATATCAAAATAAACATATTTATTTTAATATGTATTATAATTATTTTTTAAATAAATATATTAAATACCATCTTAAAATAGAAAAACAAACAACTAATAATTTTGAGCATCCCAAGTTAAAAGTAGAGTACTTAATTTGTTTTAAATTAATTGGTGTTTCGTCTTTGAAAAGAATTGAGATCTAGTTGTGACTAAATTCATTCAAGAAAAAAAAAACTATTATCCCTAGTGTAAAACTTTATCCTTAATCACTACTACCTTTGTCCTAAAGTGATTATCAATTTTTTTTGTAGAATTCATCTTAAATTAATTATTATTTTTTTTATTTTTTAAGATAAATAAATATTTTTTGACATGGTTGGTATACATTATTATTCAATATATTATATAACATATTTATTAAAAAATTTATTTTTTAATCTAAAATTAAAAGCAAATAAATTTAAAGATGTACTCATGTATATAGAATACTAGAATTGATTATATCAACTGTACTTATATTATATTTTAATGATTAAATTAAGATAAATGTAAAAAAATATATTAAACTAAGTGCTTTCTTTTTTATCAGCAAATGAGTGTTTACCTATTATTATCTTTTAACTTTCCACCTTATCAACAATTTTTCATTTATCTTTATATTTTCCTTAAGGGTAAATATATATATAAATATAAATTATCACAAATTCTTAATTTATGAAAAAATAAATAAATAAACATTTATTTTAAGATAGAAAGAGTATTCACTTATACAATTTATTAGTGTAAAATGTATAACCAAAAAACAATTTACTCCCCCTGTTTTAAAATATTTTAGGTTTTAGATTTTTGTTTCAAAATATTTGACATTTAAAACA